TATTTAAAAAAAAAATCAGCTAAAAATATTAACTGGATCAAAAGTTATTTAAGTTGTCAGTGAGTGGTGGGCCACCCTTTAATATATATAATTGAAATTTTAATACAATTGTTTTGATACATTACAAACTTAAGGTTTCAAATAANATATATAATTGAAATTTTAATACAATTGTTTTGATACATTACAAACTTAAGGTTTCAAATAAAACACAAATCATTTATAAGTATGCTAAAGTTCATTAAAAATAATGAGACGTTAATCTAACTAAAATGTTGGAATCCCAATCTTATTAAAAAATCTTCAAGCTAAACATAATTCTTAATTGAAGTTTGATCAACCGATTGTTACTCAAAAAACCGCGCACTCAAAACATTTTAAATAAAAATGTGCTCACGAATCGAGTATCAGGTAAAAATCACTATGATATGAATAAAAACCGATTACTAAGTAAAGCTTGAGTCCTAAATAGAAAGCCAACTACCCTATTTTTACTTCAAAACTAGGTGTCCTGTAATATCTCTAAAAAAATATGTTTTAATTATTTAATTAAATTATCAAATATTTGGTTGTATTTTTCGGATATTAAAATGTTTGTAGGGTCAATCATTTTATTTACTTTTTTTTTTTTTTAATTAGAAATTTTAAATAAATGACAATTACAAATGTTGTTATTCATTTTGAAATTTAGCCGGCTTAATAAAATGAGTCATTAACGTGATGGAAAACATCTATATGGAGATTGGAGAATCAAGGTCAAAAATAAAATTAATATTATTTGAAAATATTTAAAATTATTAACCTGATTGGAATAAAGAAAAATACAAAATGCATTTTGTCTATATCCGTATTTTCCTCATCATCAAGTCTATATCTTTTACTTTATATGGAGATATGTCTTTAAAATATATAAAATATATTTTGTATTTAAATTGTTATTTAGAAATTAATGATTTGGGATGATTTTTCAAAATTTTATTTAATACCTTTAATTTGTAATAAAATCCTGTTTGAAGACCATTGACCTTGACACATTGCTTTTTATCTACTAGCCATTTTATTGTTGCCGTTTGGTTACTCACATAAAATGTACCATTATTGTCTAACACAGGAGAAGTTCGTGGTGCTAAAAAAACACAAACCAGCGTTAAGAAAATTAATAATTCAGTATATTATATTTATATAAAAATGTCAGTATTCACTTGAAGGCGCAGTCATCGCATATATAATGTTTTCATTATCACTATAATTATAACCATTTGTAATAGGCTCCACTTTGATGATGTATTGGGAGTTTGGTATAAGATCGAACAAATAGTATTCAGTAACATTGTGTACTATAATTTCTTTCCAGTCATTGTTTATAATATTGTTTGAACAACTAAAATGGCGATTTACCTATAATTGTAATTAATTTATCACGTAGTTACAGATTGGCAAATAAAAAAAGATATGCTTTATTTCAATTAACCTTGTATTTAATTATATAACTTATTTCTGAATTTATTAGTTCGCTTAGTTTCCATTTTAAAAGTAAGTTGTCTGAGTTTTGACCCAACAACACTGAAATGTCTTCAATATCAATGAATCCTATCAACAAATTTAACTAACTAATTGATGTCATTGTATTTTAATAAATAGTTAGATTAATTTTGAATTTCTTACCAAAAGTTTCTGTAGTCGCGTATTTTACATCTGGAACATTTATTGTACCCAAAATCGTTTGTCCTATTAATTGTACAGCATACGTATGAGATGGTATTAAATTATTAAAAACGTATTCATTATCCTTAATTAGTACCTCCTCTTGAAATACTGAATTTTCATTCCGAGTTAAATTAGACATTAATTTTAAAATATATGATGTGATATTGCACTCATTAGCATCGCTTTTCCTTAACTAAAATATTAATAAAGCATAACTTCATAACATAAATAAATATATTAATATAATTTTAACTGCCGGTGAATCAAAGATAATAAAGTTGAAGATAAAAAAATTAATTTTTTGTGTCATAGATATCTTAAAAAAATACTTTTTTACAACAAAGTAAATTAGTGATGTTGATATAAAAACAATAAAAAATGATAATAAGTAAAAAAATTCATTTAAAGTTTAGTGCAATTTCTTTGCTTTATCTCGAACCTAAATACATTTCTGATTATAATGATGTTAATATTGATACATATAAAAATAACAAAACTCTAAATTTTAATTTTTGTCATTTATGTTATTTTATCTAGTGATCTAAGATGTGATGTTAGTATAGATAGAAGAAAAATAGGTTTAGATGGCTCGAAAAATAGAATTTTTTTTTAATGTCCATTAAATGTTAGTAAAACTATCAGAAATATCTTCCTCGAGTGTTCAAGAAATATTCAAATTAGTTCCGGTCTTACGAGAGTGTTAAAGTGAATACGTGACGGACCACATGGTGTATAAAACCAAACTTTCATTCCGTTGGTTTATCATGAATCAACATTGGCAAGTTGAAAATAAGGCTTATGTAAAGAAGGAGTATTATATGGTGCTGGAATGGCTGATTAACCAGTAAATAATATAAATAATGTCATTACTATCTTAAGTTTGTTGTTTTCAGCAATTTTTTATTTAACGCGTTTTTCTCTAAAGAATTTTTTTGACTTTGTGTGCACTTTAGCTCAAATGTTCTTAAATATATGTATACAATGTTCATTAAGTATAAATAAATGGCATACATTTTTATCATATGAAAAATAATTGTGAAAGTCATTAAAAAGCTCATTCTAAACCTATTTACCCCCTCTTAGTCTTTTATCAGTATGATCTTTTTCGAACGAATATTTTTTGTTTTACTTTTTCCCAAGTTACGGTGATATTGTCAGCTCCTGCGGCAAGTTTCATTTCGTAGTTAATCTTTTTTGGATCTAAAACACATATTATAAGATTTTCTTGAATAAATTTTAACATAGCTTTTTTAAATACACTGATAATATTTGATCTGGATGGTCGTGTGTTCGAAATCGAGTGATAATATTTGAGTGCCATAAATTACATAAATTTGATATTTTTGTTATAAATATTTAAATCGAGTTAGTCAAAAAGTAAATCTGGTACCCCGATTAAAAATAACCAGCCAAAAAGTGCTTTTTTGAGCATTATTACTTCTTAGCACTGTGAGCTTAATAATATTATAATATTCAAGCCATCAAAATTCAACATTTTGAATCAAATTCTGAATCTGATAATTCGGTAAATATTATTGAAGAAGCTCGAGACAGATTATCGTGATCGTGTAATATTATTATTTAAAAAATTGATGAAAGTGCTAATGATAATCTTCTAATCTTGATTGAGAATTTATTGTCATTATTTAATTTGATATTTTTATAAATCAAGTGAAACAAAATTTGTTAGCGTCTAACAGGAAAATGACCATTTCTAATTGAACTTTCTAGCATTCACTATGTGCATTGAGTTTTGAAATTTAAAATAACTTATGTTCTATTGATACATTGATAAAAGTTCTTGGAATTATTATGACTGAACAAAACTACTAACAGCTTATATATAAAAACTTCGTGAAAAGATATTACAAAAACGTGAAACCAGTGAGTCTATTGGCACATTTAATATATCAATGAAAAATCTTCATTGTGTCAAAAAAACAAAACTAGTAGAAATATTATCCATAAATGCATTTGTAATAAGATTATTATCAAAACATGCGCCCCTAATAGTATTTTTATAAAAGTAATAATATTATAATGTTTTCCTAACATTTTTAAAATTGTTATCTGGGGTGGTTTACGTATTTAATTATATAGTTAGAGGTGTAATACTCCGTTAATTAAGTTTTATTCTTTTATTTTAACTGAAACTTAGCGAAGATCATTCTAATACAGAATTGGGATTTCATAACTATTATGTTAATCGCAAAGATAGGAGTATATTGACTAGTACTGCTGGTAGAGGTTGTGGTAGCGGTACTTTTGCATAAAGATTTATCTTCCATGGCAATTGTGATTGAACATGATAATATTGACCAAATGTCTGTTCATTTTTAAATAATTTAAACATTGAAAGTTATTATTGGATCATGTTATTTACGGATGTAACTACTTAACAGTTTCAGCAGTATATTATCTTTCAATACAAATAATTAAAGAAATTTTTGTTGAGTTTTTCCAAGTTCTAGACGATTGATTAATTACTGTGGTGAAAATGTAACTTTAGATGTTAAAGGTTATGAGTAATTTTGATTAAGATCAAAATTTAGTCTCAAATAATTACTTTAAAAAAAAAAATTGTTATAAAACTTATAACTATTGTTTTATTATGTATGTAAATTGNTAACTATTGTTTTATTATGTATATAAATTTCATTTTAAATAGTATTAAAAGATTTCAACTGTACTCTCTGCCCTATTTAGGGTAATTACTATGTTTATCATTTTTTCTAAATGAAATAAATGTAGGTACAAATATAAATATAGTAACAATTTTGATGTTTATCATATAAAATACTTACTAAAGCATTTTGTGAAATAGTTAGCAGTGTTTATATCATCTTTGTTTGAATTTCCGTCTTCTGCAATCAATATTACACCAACCGTATACATTGTTGCTGCTTCTAAATTGCTTATTTTGTCTTTAAGAAGAAAAGTATTTATGGGTTTTATTGGTGAATACTGGAAATCTAATTCACTTGAAATTGGCTAATATAAAAAATTATAAAACTTATTACATTTAACCGTAGTTTATGATGTTAAACAAAAAAAAATGTGGCTTTTGATTAAAACAAAACTAAGAATATTAGACAAAACTTTAACTCAATTATTTTAAATCACAATTTTGACAGTATTTATCATTACTAATTGACAGTAATATGTAAAAGACCTGTATGAAAGACTTTTCAAATTTATCAAAAAATGAATTAATTACCTTATAAACTATCTGATAAAAAGATGGAATTTTACTTTTGCTTCCCAAGATATTTTCAATTCTTAAATTTAAAATTAATTTTATTGAATGAAAATCTGAAAATTCTAATTTAGGCGGTTCGATTAGAACTGGGTATTCTGTAATAATGTAATCGAAATTGTTATAAATAATAATCCGCAAAACTTCATCAAGTAATTAAAATTGACAATTACTTTCAATACAATACGGCATAATAAAATTATTTTTACATCCTTCTTTACAAGTTCCTAAAATATTATCGCATTGAGTTTTACAATTGTTTGAACATATTTTTTGACATCCGTGACCGTAAGTTCCTTCAGGACATTCTATACGATTTTTCAATGTTTTCAGTTTTTTAATTATGAAAAATGCTTCAAATTATATACAAACCTTGATTGCATAAAGGTCCAGTATATCCAGCTGCACATGAACATCTATGATTATTTGTGCAGAACAACATATTCTGACAAAAAGTCTTCTTTTGTGAACACCAAGCAGTACAATCAGCACCATATTTATTTTTGCCGCATTCTTCAAACACAATTTTATATAAAATAATTTTTGAACTATTTTAAATGCCTATGGTCATAATTACCTTTAGGTGAATAGGTACTGGCAGCCATTTCTCGAGTGATACCTATTTAAAATTTAACAAAAAAAAAATATTACTTGAAAAAGAAACTTACATCCATAGCAATTTTTTTTTTTTTAATATTATTATATTATTATTTTTATAATGTTATATAATTTTATATTGATCTTATAAAAATGTTTTTGTGACGGTGTTTTAACATTATTGTTTAAAATTGCTATCTGGAAAAAGAATCATTTATTTCTTATTAAAATTATATTTTATTTATTTACTTGGATAAATATTTACAATAGAAGTTGACTCAATTATTTCTGTGCCGTGTATTTCATATACATCTTCTACTTCTAAGTAAATAAAAAATTAATTACTTGGTTATATGAAGTATGATTTAACAATTAAAATATTTATAATTTATCGAATTTGAGTGACATTATATACTTACTGCCGTAATCTATACATTGAGCAATTCGTTTTATGCCAAGTGCTGAATAACTATTGTAATTATCATTAGTAATAGTTAAGTAATATTTTTTATTTTTTTCAAATGGTCTATTAAATTTCATTATTAATGTTTTAAACTCGTTGCCCTAAAAAATTATTTTGGAAATATTAAATTTATTAGTTATAATCAATACATATTTCCATAAACCGTAAAGAAAGATAAAAGTCAAGAATGTTTTAGATTATAATTTGTCAAAAAAAAAAAATTTAGAGTTATCTTTATGATATGGTTTAATAGTATTTAATATAAGTTGAAACATCTCGTTAAAGCGATCACATACATTTACTTAACAATCTAAAAGCTAACACAGTATAAGTATTGGGTAAGCAATTGCTGTATTAATTGGTATAATTGATATTTTTATCGTTAACCGAACTTTCTGAATATTTAATTGGAATGAGAAAATGTATAATAATAATATAATATAATAATATAATATAATATAATAATATAATATAATATAATAATATAAGAAAATACTTTAAGGTTATTATACAAACTAACTAGCTAACTATGTCTCACGCAGAAGTATAAAAAATATAATTTCTTTTTTTTCAAAAGTATCCTTTTGTATCCAAAAGTAAAATCCTACACACTTTAATTAACACAAAAAATATAGTTTTATCCCCTTTAAAATTATATGTACTTTAGTTTTTAAACAGAAACCTACATATTTAATTGGCTTAAGAGCGTCCATAAGATAACTTTCAGAAAGAGACAAAGAAATTATTTATTTTTTGTTTGTCATTTTAATTTAACCATATTTTAGAGTAATTTCAATGAAAAAAAAACCCAGCACAGACATCAGGTGACATGGCATAGTTAGGACAACTATAGATAATATCTGACAGTGATTAAAATCAATATCATATAAATCTCTTCGATGAAATTCTGTGGCGTTTAATTTTTAGAAGAAGTTATCAAATTAATCCAAAAGCAACAAGAACTCCTGTTTCATAATTTATATCCTGATTTATAAGTTTTATGATTTATAAGTATAATATATAAATAATGACACCTCGCAATAATGTAGTCGACATTGGTTTTGATGGTTGAGACCTGTAAGCTGTTAGTTAATGATGAGCAACAACAGGTTATTTAAAAAAACAAACACAATATATAAAATTTTCGCATAATATCGCGGCACTTTTGCTGTAGTCGGTGACGTGGTGCACGGCATGGTCCTCGGACGTCAAAAAGATGGCAGCGATGATGGTGATGGTGTGCGGGTGCGGATCGGTTTGTCGAGTACGGTCTTGCGACACGTCCGCTGTCAACGGGGTACATCCTCGACGTCGTCACTTTAACGACAGGAACAGGAATCAATATATAATTTGTGGTGGATGGTCGTCGGCACTTGCTGGACTTAGCACCGTGGCGTATGGCCCGCACTGTTAGTCAGTTAAACTACCAGATACCCATAGTAGGACGACGGTTAAGAAAGTTGGCGTGGGGCACCGTGTGTTTAGAAGCGACGCGTGATGCGCCTCTTTGTGCGATGGGAGGAGTGGTGGTGTCAGCGTCTGTTTCGTGGGCTGACACTAGTAAAATGGATGTGCAGACGGTTCTCGCTTGGCGGTCGAGTGTTAATATGATGTATGTTTGATAAGCTTTGTACGTCCCACTGTGCCATTAAAGACCGCAGCGTAGTTTTACATAATTTGTGTTAATAATTCGCGCGTATGTGGGTCGCATTACCTGGATGAATTGTACATGCAGCATAATCCCAAGAGACTTCCGGATCCATCAGAGAATCATGCCCTAGAAATGCGCCACAGTACAGATTATCCAAGAACACAGCCGTAAAATTAAACGTCAGATCTTCGATGTTGGCGGTAAAAGTAGCGGTGGTGGGTGTTGTGTGGCCGTCAACTAGTCGTTTGTGCACTATTCCGTGTTTATGGGGTTGTATAAGACTTTTGCGCTTGTGAGTCAAGTAATGCCGTCACAAGGCCGTTGTTAAATTCAATTTACACGGCGGGTGTAGTAATTTTAGGTGGGCCTATTTGTTTAGCAAAGCTCGGGTGGTTTACGGGGAGTGTGTGAGCGCGTTGCCTGCCACTAGTGTCAATCGCCTTAAGCGGGTAATTTTGTATCGTAATTTCACGGAGGGATAATAAAAAATTATAAGTATACAGAGTGATTCTTTAGATATTAGCCTCTCTCACTTTAGCAATGTATGGTTTTTATCTTACTGTATTTTTTAGCATAAATTCTTCTAATGATGTGTCATCTTGATATATTTTTATAAAAGAAGTTGGCGTTGGTGAGTTGTATTTATCCACATCTTTAAAATACGTCATTGATATACACCCTGTCACCGTTTCATCTTGAATCCAATCGATTTTAAATGATATTTCATTGTTAGAGTTTTTAAAATTTAATGAATTACCCTCTGCTAATATATCTGTACGTCCATCTATTTTGAAAAAAAAAAACATTTTGTTTTCGTTATAGCATTAATCACAATATATACTTATTATTTAAAGAAGCAAATAATTTTTTTTTGCATTTATTTGATCAGATATTAATTACTGTATGATAATACTGTTCATAGTATGGACAATGGCGCAACTAGAGCAAAAATCTTAAGGGTGTCAACATTTTTAAAACAAATTACTTCTCTTTATGTAATACTACTGTTGACTATCGCACTTAGACAGTTGATTAAGTACGTAGAACGTTTTCGTTTTAAAGTTGTAGAATTGTNTTAGACAGTTGATTAAGTACGTAGAACGTTTTCGTTTTAAAGTTGTGGAATTGCACAAAATATCTGCATTAGATTTATCAAGTGGATATTGGTTAGTAGCATTTATGACACAGTAAACGCGCAAAAACATATCATTCTCTATCAAAACATAAAAATATTAAACGCCGTTGGCGTTTAACATTTCTCCATTTACGTTGTTTATACCTGTAGCTTCGTTGTATTTTAGCTCATTTCAATTAACATTAAGTTAATTCACATCAAATTTGGTAAATTCATTAATCGAAAAATAAATACAATATTAAAAATTTTACTTTGATTACTTTTAATTACATGTTTTTCTCAATTTATCAACCATAAAGCATTTTTCGTGTTTGACCAGACATTTTCTATTTTATGAGCTGGTTAAATATGTATGTTGTTATTTGGATAAATAAAGTTGACACTTTTTGTAATGTATAAAAGATGAATATGAAAATTACATCATGGTTGATAAATTCAGAAAAACTTGAAACTAAAAGATACCAAACGTAAAATTCTTAATAATTAATTTTTCGATTAATTAAGTGCCGGTATAAAAATATTCATAGGTTTCCATTCAACTTTCAATATTTATGCATAAAAGATGCCCTTAAAAAGAGTTTTTTTTTTCAATATAATTAGAATTTAATATAGTTTATCAGAATAAATAAAAAATGATTCAATTCAATTTCATAAAAAATCATTATTTGACAAAAAAAAATGAGTGTAGTATTCTTAATAACTCTCACTAAACAGGTTGATTGATTTATCGTTGACCATTAAATTCCTCCTAAAATAATGATAGTTTTGAGAATTATTTATTTATTGATGTATATTTAATTAAATATTTTTAGGTCCATCCCTTATCATCTATAAGGGTAATAAATGTTATTAACTCAAATTTTCATAAACTTTATAATGATACAGACTATTTACTACTAACTATTAATAAGATATTTTTCCATCAACATGTTTCTTAAAATCTATTCTACAAAATAGCTATCTTGGATGTTTTTATTTTTTATTTAAAATTTTAAAATAATTATAGACCTCACGTATAACTGTTATTTAAAAAATAAACCAGAAAAAAATATTGAGTTATTTAAGTTGTCAGTGAATACTGGGCCATTCTTTATATTCTTATGTTCGTTTTCTTAGGTTTGATTAATTGTTGATTTTGTTGTTTGTGTGTATTCTTTTTATCTCGCCTTTATCTCAAATACTTGTGGTTGGCTACTCATATTTTAAACTTCCACTTGACACGATCTTCCACATCAGCCGTCCTTATATCGCATTCAATAACATCCCTCCATGTATGCAACTGTACGTTTTTCATTATCTATCTTTAATTTTAGTGTAACATTGATTCGTGGTTGAATTAGATTTCATTTTTTAATTCAATTTTACACTCAATTACTCAAATTTATAACAATAAAAACAAATAAAAAAATATAATCCCGCATGTGTTCACANAAACATAAATAAAAAATATAATCTCGCATATGTTCACTATTTCAAAGTCAATGTTGCATAGACTGAACTTTATTTTTTGACGAATATACAATAATGTATATTATACAATCAATTATCTTAAACGTTAATAACTTCTGAAATACTTGTTCAAAATTTGTTATCGAACAGTCATTTATTTAGTCAGATTATTTTTATTATAAATGTTATTTAAATGTGTATGTTGCCATTGAAAAAAAATTAACACGGTATAACTATATATAGTTTTATCAAGTTCATTTTTTATTTTTTATATATTTAATTGCTTATAAAACATAAAATAATTATTATTAAACAAAACCAAAAAAAAAAAAATGTTTGAATTTTTAATATTTTAAGACCTATTTAGAGATCAACGATAAATCAAACACTATGTATAGAAATTATAACATGCTGCAAACATTTTAATTTGAAATATAATGTAGGTACAATTAAATCAATTACGTAATTCACCAAAAAAAGTTCTCATTTTTAAAAGTTATGCTTTCTTTTTAAGCATGTGAAACCTCAATCAAGTTTATGTTCAGTAAAATTATTTACCCAACACATTTATAATCATCTCGCCAGATTAAAAAATGGTACCCTTCGTTATATTTATTTTCTGTCGTTATATTTTGATTTTAGGAAATACAAATTATTATTTATGGTGATTAAAATAAATAACAAGTATTTAAATATAAATTACACAATTATAACCAGATAATTACTTCAAATAAATTGTGCTGAATTAGATAATCCACATGATGAAGTAAAACAAATTAATTAATTGATAAGAAATGTTAATGTTAATTGATGACACAAATACAATATTTTTAAGTAAAAAAAAAAATGATTACTTAATTAATTTAACTTACAGTTCCTTCGATCATATGTTATACTAGACGAGATGTCGAAAAAAATTGATTCGTACTCAACATTGTTTTTTGTATATATACTATTTGGATAAAAAGAATCAACAATAAATTCAAGACTTTTTTTTTCTGATTTCAAAATTCGTCCATTAAAATATACTGGCAACCCTTTAGCATTAGTTCGAGAATGTATTTCTACATTATTGCAGTATAACGCTTCTCCATTATAAATAATTGAAGTTATATTATTGCCTATTTAAAAAAGTAGAAAGCAGAATTAAAATAATTATTACCGAAAAATAAAAAACAAACAACTGGAAATTCTTACATGAATCAAAATAAGTGCATTTTTCTTTTAATTTGCATACTAATGTAATATCGTAAGATCCTAAAAAAATAAATGTTTAATAATAAACAAAAAATAATTATTAACAATTAAAGTGTTTTTTACAAAAAATTAGTTACTCCATTAAAAAAGAAAAACATTATCTGCTTATATTATTGTCCATTGACAATAACTAAAATTATTGAATTGAAAGTGAAACAAACACTGTTATGTATTATACGGAAATGTAAAACTTAATTTACTCTTATTATTTGAAAGTACAAAGTTACTTTTTGTTTTACAAACTCTTTAATTGTAATTACACTATAAAGGTAGGTTGTTAATTTGTATAAAACTTAAACAAAATATATTTTTTGAATAATTTAGTAAAATTAATGTTTAAAAATTACCAAAAGAAGTATCAACAAATTCATGAGAGATTAAAAATGAGGTCGATTTGCATATAAGAAAACAATAAATACCCAACAAAACAAAAACGACTTTTCCAAAAAATACATTTTTTGAATGCATTTTGTGTATTAAAAAAGCTTCCAGTGATGTTTATTTTTAAGTCATAGATCTGTAAATTAAAATAATTTTGAAATTTTGTTTAATATATACATTTAAAAGGTAATCTAAGAGCTGATTATATACAAAAATGTTTTTTTATCATTTATATAAATAGAATGTATCATGTTGCAAACCGAAAAGTTAAAAACTAATTTTTTGAGATGTTTTGTGTTTTTGAACTTCAAACATTTCGGTTTACATAAGACATCATTAGTACGGGCATTAGGTTTTGCAAATCATAATTATAATTATGAAGTAATATTTGCCAGGAAGGAAAGGGTTGAAGTTAGATAAGTTTTCCCAGTAGAAGCGTTTATATGGTGAATCTAAAATTTCTTTTGTTCGGAGGAGGCAATAAAAACTTTTCTTATGTATATCCCCCCCTAAAATAAAACCCTAACTAAGCCATTGGTTTGTACGAGTACCCATAAAAAGTAGTGTTTGCACATTCATCATGATCTTGTAACGGCACTAGACACCATTAACGTTTTTAATTTATAATAAGTCTCCTAAAAATTGTTTGAAGTTCACTTATCATGGAAATCGGCAAATTGGTACTTATAACGGTCAGTAATTATAATACCAGTAGATCTCAATACCGGTATTTTTTAGTGTATTGAAAGTACCGCCTGTCATAAACTATAGTTAATCGTGTATGTGCCGGTAGTGTGGTGTGGCACAGTCGATCATTTAGTCGCCATCTTAGCGCTGATGTTTAGCTGCGCTGTTTGCCATTGGTTCCCAGATGGCTGACGTCATTAATAATGACACACCCTTGTTCCCATACTGTTTTCCACAGTCATAATGAGGTTGCGTCACATCGACAGCCCATGTAAAATTGCGTAGAATTGTTGAGTCCAGAGCCCAAATAGTGTCGATAGAGACTGTGTTAATTGTGATAATGAATTGTGTATGTTGCCATTGTAATATTCTCCTTTGGAATATTAATAAAATAAATACCTCTTGTATTTCTAAGACCACAGAAAAGAATATGCTAACACGATTATACATATAGTATTGACTCTTGGCAACTACAAAGTAGTCATGAGTCATTGTCTGTCCCAGCGTCTTCGAGGCACCACAGAAAGCATTAAATAGGAGTAGGTGATAAAAAGTAACAGTCTTGTTTTGATTGTAGGACGGATTGGTGACTCAATATGTCTATGAAAAGGCATGACACAATCAAGACGTTTCATCCCTGTTTATGCTTTTCGTGGTACGTTATATAAGGGCTGGAGACTGCTTTAGTCAGTCAGTCAATCTTTCATCTTTCTTGTCCACTTTTCTCACTACAATGTCAAGTTAATCAATTTAAAATAATTCCAAACATACTCGTACGTATTCTTTTCTGCTGTTTGTTTTTAGACTTAACTTTTGACACTAAACTTAAAATATACATTTGTTTAAATAATTAACATTTTCTACAATAATAAATACGCTTCTATTAACCAAATACGATTCTCATTTATTAATGTACCTACTATAGTTTTAAATATATTCTTAACAACCATAAATCTACACTCAAGATTTTATCATCATCAGTGAATATCAGGTAAGAGTAGTTTTAATACACTAACTACATTTATTAAGTAATAACTATTAGACCTTAGTTGTAGTATAAAATATTAATAAAAAAAAATGTATACAACTACACATTAAAAATATTTTTTGTAAATATAATTATAATTAATTAATATGACAATTAAATATTATTCGATTAAACTAACAAAACAATCGATCACTTAACGCTCTGGCCTAGCACGGTGGAGGGTCAAGCACACACTGATTTTATTTATCGATAGGTCTTATCGCCTTTATGACAATTACAGAATACTACATAGTACTTCCCCCTTTAACACACCCTTCTTTCTTTTGGTTATTACACCATTTGAAATCGATAACTTTATAAAGTATAAAGAACTAACTTGAAAAATACTTCAATTAAATTATTATTTTAATTTTTCGATTAATTTAATGGTCAATGAAATAAACATCATTTTGTATGTTTTGCTCTATAGATAAATAATAGTGATAGGCATTTTCGAATATATTAAACTATCGAATTGTATTCGAATAGTTTTTATACAATCGATTAGTTTATTTTTAGCATAAACTATTCGAATGGGTTACCGTATGTTTTTAAAAAATATTCGAATAGTTCTACCTAAAATTTTTTATTAAGTATACTTAATTATAATAAGAAGATAATTAACGAATACTTATAAATAAATTATTATACAATTAATAATAGTAAAAATTAGTGATTGGCATTTTCAAATATTTTAAACTATTGTATAACTATTCAAATTGTGTTTATACAACCGAATAGTTTATTTTTAACATAAACTATCGAATAGTTTTAAAAACTATTCGAATATATTGTGTAACTATCGAATATTTTTACTATTCGAATATTTTTTGAATGACTATCGAATAGTTTGAATAGTGGACAACTATCGAATAGTTCGATATTTCCCATCACTAATAAATAATGTTAACACGCCTATAAATTAAAGGGATGTTTAATTTTTTATGTTTATAAAAATTTAATAAATAAGACAATTACTATCATCATATTTAATAACAACATTACTTTATTTGCTATTTTTAAAATATTATATTATAAAAACGTATTACTATAATAAATTGTCACCGGTATGTAACAACTTATCCAACTTCGAGAAAAGTTGTTACATTTTGGCTTGCTGAAATTAAACATTTTGTTTGGTACATAAACTACAAACACATTGAATAATCTATAATTTTATGAAAGCTTAGAATCTATAAATATATATTAATTTATAACAATTTTGGGTAATTGTTGAAGAAAAATTACAAAAAATAAAAATTGTAACAACTAGCTCCGTTTTTCTCTATAGAAAATATTATAACAAGACCGATTGAAGGACATAATTTACATTTATTTAAGTTCAAGTAAATAGTATTATAATCACACTAATCAACGAGCGCATTTAAATAGTTCTGATAAAGAGATGTATCATCCAAAAAGATTTGACAATGAGAGCAATTTTAAGATCACTGGCAAATAAACTATATTCTCATGGTTAGAAATAACAAAATCCGGAGTCAATAACTTAGCTGCCCTAGAGATCATTAGACTATAGTTGTCTGACTAGACATAACATTTTTACTTATTAAAAACAGTTANAAACATAACATTTTTTCTTATTAAAAACTGTTCTTTCGGATGTTTTAAAATATGTACATTTCATTTTTTCCATTTAAATGGAACTTGACACTTATCGTTCAATTTAAATATTATTCATAAAAATGATTTAAGTTCAACTAAGACAACCAAATTAACTCAGTCAGTAACGCGTTGTATTTTGGTACATTAGTATTAAGGTTCGATTTCGATTTCATCGTTGCAATAGGCTAAGTATGATTTTCCGTCCTCTTTGACACAACTAATTGCTTTTAGAGAGAGTGATAAACATAAATTATAAGCTCACAAATAATTATAAATATTAGAACGATATTTAAATTAAAATTCATAAATTTATATCTCTGTTTTTTTACCATAGAAATAAAATAATATATTTTTTTAAATTATAATTTATGATTTAATGTAAACATATTGTTTGAATATATTATAATTAAAATTATGTTGGGTTAACTATACGATATAATATTGATAATTTATTATTGATTATTTAATATTTATTATTGATCATTGAAATTTATAATACAAAAGTTATGTGTTAACTTTTCTCTGATTTCATAAAAACTAAGAAGTTATTAATTCAAAGATTTTCGGTAAGTAGGTATGATAAGGGAAAAAAAATTAAAGTTTACTGACACGTACGTTATGTGACCTAAGCCAACTAAAGTTCATCTTATTTATTATTTACTTATCTAGTACATTAGTCGGATAGTTATAAGATGGTTTGTATGTAAGGTTTATATAAAAGATTAAATTTTCTATGTATTCTAATTCGAGTTTACATAACTACATATTTATAAGTATTAAGAAAAAAACAGAAATATAAAAAAGCAAAAATGTATCGACACATACCTTCGTGGATTTGACGTGATTTCGCTGAGCAGTAATTGCGATACTGAATAATTAAGCGTAGAACTATAAAAAATATAATATTAGTTATTTTAGTTATTAAAATGTGATTAGACCACGATTATCTATACTAGTAGATAACCGTAGATTAGACCAAAGTGTATATGGTATTAATAAGTCGGACATTGAAGTCATTAATTATTTAAGTTAATATGTAAGGGATAACCTTTGTTGCTTGATTTATTATGTTGTTTTTAATTAAATTATATTTTCATGAATTTTTATGATATTCTATTATATTTTATTAACGGACATTATTAGTTGTTTTTAATGCACAATGTTCTATTTTTATCTTCCATCAGTAACTGAAACAGTAATGGTTTTATTAAGATGTGTTTAAAATTTTGTTGGGTACAAAATATTAGAAATACCTGGCAACGGTATTTCGTTATGACAAAGTTCACAGAAATCTCTGTATTTGCGCAAGACGTCGTTTCTCGTCACCAAGGCCGTTGACGAGATACACACACATTCTATAAGTATTTTACCACCGCTGTCCTTTCATCACAAACAAACATGTTTGTTTTGTATCCTTAGGGTGGACAGGGAATTTTCGCGCGTCGAGGCAACACCGCCATGACTTACAACGTACTTTCCAGTGAACACTGTCACTATCAACATTGTACTGTCAACGTTACAACACGACGTCGTAGTTTCACTGAGCGCCACCGATCGTGTAAAGGAAAGCCATTTTCAGGCTAATCGAATTATCAGCTGTCTCTGCCTGATATTTTCCATCTGTAAACCACTCGTCAGTAAATTTTATAAATCACTCTGAATAATTTAGTCTATTTACACAAACATTGTTTATTACCAATTCGTTGTTTTCTTTGCTACTCTTTAAATAGTAGATATTACATTTACTTAACTTTTGTCACTATAATGATTGTATTGTTTATATGTACAGTGGCGGTTCGTGGCTTGGACGACGGGGCGATCGCAACCCCTACTAAAATTAATTAAATTAAGAAAATTAATTGTATATTGTTAATTTTACATTTTTAAACAGTAAAGTAGTTTGTTGTGTGTGAACATTAAAGTTTTTTCTCTCAGTATATGAGTGTACGCACGAGCAGAGTTGGTACAAAGACTGTTTTGCATTGCGTGTAGTTAATGTGTTGAATTGTTGTTTACTCGTTCTACTACACGCAATCATAAGTTAATTTCAGAATGTTTCATTCTTCAGAAATATTATTTGTTAATTACTCGATCTATTGTGTTTTTATTGAATTATTTTAAGTGTAAGACTCAATACTAAGGTTACCACCCACATGCATCCTATCTGTTCTTTTGAAACTTATCTAGAACCAGTTAGACGGCGAGTCTACACTCAGGCGCAGTTGCGTCTTAATATTCGTGTTTCGCAAATTTTATTTTATTTATAAAATAAAATTTTATTTTTAGTGAGAGAAGTGGACTTGATGTGATTCCCAGTTGCAACAGTATATTTTGCTTCAATATACGTATAATTATATATTTGTCTTCTTCGATATAAATTTGTATTAATTAATCTGCTTAAAATTATTTTGTGTATTCATTAAGAAAGTTATCATCTTCTATTTGAAGTTAAAATATATTATTGCAAATTAACATCATATTTTCTCTTAATTACCAATGTTGTTTAAATAATGATTTTTTAAANTCTTAATTGTCAATGCTGTTAAAATAAAGATTTTTTTAATCCGGTCTATAACATAAGTAAACAATTGAAAATATTTAAAATGTCTCATAAGATGACAGAATAACACATACAAAAAGTTAACTTCAATAATGACACAATGAAATATTACATAGTATTTTATAATGCTCATTTCAAAAATACAATAAAATAAAACCTTTGT